GGGTTTTAATGTTGAGAAGATCCTCTAGAACCCTTGTTAACCTTTGTCTCAAGAATTTGTGTCTGTCGGTGACAAAACCATCGGTAAGCTCCCATGGATTCCTCTCGACTACACACATATTTCAAACTTGTCTTAGTTTTCTCTCTGTTATTGCTCTTTCTTCTCGCGAATTCGGTTCTCTTAGTGAAGAAAAATCGAGTCCTTGAAAACGAAATGACTAGAGGATCTTATGTGTTGTTGCAGTGGATGGATTGGTTCTGTGTCTGTTCCATTGTTGGTTATCATCTTTCCTTTGGTGTTTACTTTTTGTTGTTGCTTTTGCAGATTATCACCTTTTACCGAGTATAAAATAATGGATGGATCAAAGCATCCGTCGGTGTTTCAGAAGCTTCATGGTCAAATGAATAGACTTTCCCCGAGTGTGCAAACTCGTACTGTCAACGGAGGTTTGCAGAGTCTTTTGCACTCAACTGATCATGGCGTTGGCTCTTCTCTTCCACCTCATGGGTCAGTGCCTGTACTTATTCAAGCACCTAGTGAGAAAACTAGTACTGGTTTCTTGATCGATTTCCTTATGGGAGGAGTCTCAGCTGCTGTTTCCAAGACGGCTGCTGCCCCCATTGAGCGTGTCAAGCTCTTGATTCAGAACCAAGATGAAATGATCAAAGCCGGCCGTCTCTCTGAACCGTACAAAGGAATCAGTGATTGTTTTGGCCGAACTGTCAAAGACGAAGGCATCATTTCTCTTTGGAGAGGCAACACCGCCAATGTCATCAGATACTTCCCCACCCAGGTTAGCTTCTTCTTCGAATTGCTACTTGTATAGGCATTCAGAATGGGTGTGTTAAGCAAAGATTTTTGTTTGCAGGCTTTGAACTTTGCATTCAAAGATTACTTTAAGAGGCAGTTCAACTTCAAGAAAGACAAAGATGGCTATTGGAAGTGGTTTGCAGGGAACTTGGCGTCTGGTGGTGCTGCTGGTGCATCGTCTCTGCTTTTTGTCTACTCTTTGGATTATGCTCGTACCCGTTTAGCCAACGATGCGAAAATAGCCAAGAAGGGTGGTCAGAGGCAGTTTAACGGCATGCTCGACGTGTACAAGAAGACTATAGCCTCTGATGGCATTGTCGGGCTGTACCGCGGTTTCAGCATCTCGTGTGTTGGAATTGTCGTATACCGTGGGCTCTACTTTGGATTGTATGATTCCTTGAAGCCTGTGGTTCTAGTTGATGGTCTCCAGGTACAAAACAAAGAAAAACTCTTCACTTCGACATAGTTGAGAGTCCTCTATTGCTGTTTACTCATATTGATTTTAATACAGGATAATTTCTTTGCGAGTTTCTTGCTGGGATGGGGAATCACCATAGGAGCTGGACTGGCATCTTACCCGATCGACACGGTGCGTAGAAGAATGATGATGACTTCAGGTGAAGCAGTGAAGTACGAGAGCTCTCTTCAGGCTTTCACTCAGATCATCAAGAAAGAAGGGGCCAAGTCACTTTTCAAGGGTGCAGGTGCCAACATCCTCCGTGCTGTCGCAGGCGCCGGTGTGCTCGCCGGCTATGACAAACTCCAGCTCATTGTGTTGGGCAAGAAATATGGCTCTGGTAGTGGCTAAAAGATGATAAAAGAAAGGTCCTTGTGTTCGTATAAATGTTTGCTTTTAGACTATTCAGTGTTACTCTGTGTGGCCCTTTCGTCTTTAGTTCAGTGACTTTGACTTTTTTCAACAAAATAATAAATACAAAGGAAACCACTGTACAGACAATTTACGGAAGTTTTATTGTCTGAACAATTGGTTTATGGTATCTTTGTGTTTCTTCCTTCTCTAGTTTAAGAAAACATATACTGTATACCGTAAGATATGTGACAGATTTTTTTTTTTTATAGATATCAGTTGAATGTAAAAGATAAGTGAGTGAGTGATCAAAATCCAACCCTAAGATTTGGTCTTCAAAGATGTCAGTCTCAGATCCCACTTCAAACTACTTCAGAGAGCTACAAGTAAGGAGTTGAGTCCTTTTCCTTGATCTTGTACCACCACTTGATTCATCCTCTGCAATTGTTGCTCCAAAGACCGAAACTTATAAGTGTCTCTCTCTATATATATACATACACTTAAAATGAAGGATCCATAACTTTTCTTTCAATGGCTCTCTCTCTAACATTTCATGCCCTTATCTCAGTTCTTCTTCATGTTTCTTTAATATCAACCGCAAAGCATAACTCTCACCACCACACAAGTCACTCCCAGAACCAGAACCAGCATCTTCAGCAAGCGTACCGTGCCCTTAAAGCATGGAAGAAGGTCATCTATTCCGATCCAAAGAACTTAACTGCCGACTGGGTCGGTCCCTCAGTCTGCAGCTACACTGGCATCTTCTGCGCCCCATCTCCTTCCGATGCTAACACTCTAGTTGTTGCCGGAATCGATCTCAATCACGGAGACATTGCTGGTTTCCTGCCTGAACCCCTTGGCCTTCTCTCTGACGTGGCTCTCATACATCTCAATAGCAATCGCTTCTGCGGGATCCTTCCTCGTTCATTGGCCAATCTTTCGTTACTCTATGAGCTCGACCTCAGCAACAACCGCTTTGTAGGTCCTTTTCCAGACGTCGTACTTTCACTGCCTTCTCTGAAGTACCTTGACCTTCGTTACAATGAGTTCGAAGGCCCCTTGCCTCCAAAACTCTTCAGCAATCCCCTCGACGCCATTTTTGTTAACAACAACAGGTTAACAAGCCTCATTCCCCGAGATTTCAGTGGAACAACTGCCTCTGTTGTCGTCTTTGCCAATAACGATTTCAGCGGTTGTCTGCCTCCAACCATAGCTCGCTTTGCAGATACCTTGGAAGAGCTTCTCCTAATCAACTCAAGCTTATCTGGGTGTCTACCCCCGGAAGTCGGGTATCTCTACAAGTTAAGAGTCCTGGACATGAGCTACAACAACTTGGTTGGTCCTGTACCTTACAGTCTCTCTGGGCTAGGCCATCTCGAGCTGCTGAATCTGGAACACAACATGTTCACTGGAACTGTCCCTCTTGGAGTCTGCGTTCTGCCCAGCCTGCTAAACCTTACCGTCTCCGACAACTATTTCTGTGAAGAAGAAGGCATCTGCAGTAACCTGACCTCCAGAGGAATAGCCTTCGACGATCGCCAAAACTGTCTGCCTGACAAACCGCTCCAGCGGAGTCAAAAAACCTGTGAAGCTGTACTTGAGCACCCTGTAGACTGCTATGACCACGAATGCTCAGCCATGGCTCCTTTGGTTGCTCCGTCTACCGCAGGACCTTCCATTACTCCTGGTCCAGCCTCCACATAAGGATTCTCACTAGTATTCGCACAATGACAAGATGTTATGTATGCAAACAAAATGAAAGAACAAGAAATGTGTGAAAGATTGGGTTGTGGGGTGAAGAATATGCACTAAGATTGTAACATTATACACTTTATACAGAACACAATGTCTATCAGCGGTATATAGCCGCAGTTACAGACTCCAACCCTAGCTCTGTTTTCATCTAAGAAGTCTTCTAAACTTCTCCAAGGACCTGAAATCAAAGAATCAGCCCCACATGTTTCAGAGTCCAATTTTATATTTACATACTTCGTGATTTTTTGAAAACTCATATAGCAGGAATGTTTCACAAAAACACTGAAACATCCCACAATTATTTCAGAAAAAAACAGGAACAGACAAACCTGATACACACCTGAAAACACACTCAAATAGAGTGTGTTTCCTCATAGGCCAACAAATTTCATAGCTTGGGTTTTATCATCCAGAATTCTAATTTAAAAAATCACATTCAGGTCTGGAAACAAAAAAAAAATTCTTCAGACAGAACAGACCCTATCTATACCTATTAGGCAAAGAAAGTTCCAAGGACCCAAAAAAATGATAATTTAACTCTGAAAGTTAGTTCGAGTTGTTACCTGCAATTAAACTGAGTGTAGTCGGTACATCGTAACAAATCAAAAACATCTTCTAAGCTGGAGGAAGAGAACGCCGACAAGTTGGGCACTCCATTTTTATATCCATCCATCTGTGTAAGCATCCCGAGTGGAAGAAATGTTCACATGGAGTTACCTATTTTCATAACAAGTACGGTCATGATTCTCTCTATTGGGAAAAAAAAAATGTAGTTAAGAGAAACTGAGTGAAGAAACTGCAGTACCATGCAATCACTGGTACGCTGTCTGAGATCAATAGCAGTCATGCAGATGACGCAATCAGTGGTGCGGTTTATGTCCTGATTAACTCTTCTGTGGTAGTTGTATTTCTCTGGTAGCATCTGCGTGTAGGCAAAAACGACGAAGAAAGAGATTAGTGTAGTCAGGAACAACTTAGCAATGGGAAAGAAACATGATATATCCAAGAAAAACTGAAACCACGCGGAAACATTGAGATTACTTTACTAGAGGTGGACATTTTATATGTAATCTACAACGAAAAGAACAAACTACCTGACGGGGAACAAAGCAACGTGAACCAAAATAATGCTGGAGAAGAAGAATGACAGCTTGCAACCCCACGAATGTGCACAAGCATACACACCAAATCTTGTTGGTCTCTACACGCATGAAGTTGTGTGGGCATCCAAAAACATATAACGGTATAGCTACCCGTGTAACTGTCATGCCCAAGATATAATACGGGTGCAGAGGTTTTCTTGAATCCCGGACAACATTGGCTACTATCTGTGGTATCCAAAATGAGTACATGAGAAGGAGAATAGGCCGCATGTAGTCATGGAACTGGTACATTATCAAAATGCCCCCAAGAAGGATCCCATCTGTTATAACATTGTGATAAGTGTTAGCATCTGAACTCGCGTCGAAGTTTCAGATACATGAAAAATTGTCACATAAATGGTCACATAAATGGCGAAAATGTCCAGTCCTTAAGGAACAGAGCTTTAAAAATAGGGGAAGAGAATCATGCAGTCATATGACTCGTATCATAAAAGTGCAGTAAGAAAAGAGTTTGAAGCTTCAAGCGATAAACAAACACCAAAGAAGTAAGTACTCACAGAAACGGCTGTAGAGAAAGGACAGTTCACGCCTCATTGTTTCCCACCCTTCCCCGCTGTTGGAAGGACGGGCCGCTTTCCATATGGCCAGAAGATATCTCATCTCAAAAATCGAAAAGACTACGAATTTGAAGAATGCAGCAGTTGCGAATGCATTAAATAAAGATTCTGCATGAGAAAGTTGTAGGCTTTAGGTTTATAGTTATTGAGATTTGAGAGAAACATTACAATGACAAGTTGCCGACAGGTCAATGAGAGAGTATTAGAAATTCCAACGATGAATTGAGTAATGGATTAAACAGATGGGGGACAGAAAGGTCAATGAAAACCAGCAAATAATTTTATCAAAATGGAGGGAAAACCCTTTATACAAAGAAAAACAAAAAACAAAAGCATAAAAAGTATCACAGCAATGAACACCAAACATGTTAAATGATCGAGAAGAAGTAGGTTAATAACAAGAAAAAGGAAAAATGGCATCCTTTACGCTCGAGTACAGTTATGTGAGTATACATACCAACTAATATCCCGGCCGTTAGATGTAAAAGGCACAAATAAGCATCCATGATTGCTTGTTGCCCGATCATTACAATGGATACCTTGGCAGCACCCTTGTATACAAGAAATTCCGGAAATTAGTATCTTTTATTCATTATGTACAACAATACGTTATCAGACCATCAGGTTTACATCAGTATCTTACAGATTGTGTGTTACCGTGCTCCATCTGGCGGATTAACAAAAGAACCTGAAGGAAAGAGACCTAAGTGCAATAGAAAGTTAAGGAACACGCTAAAATTGAACAAGTGCTCGACACTCTGTTATGAAAGGGTAAACAATTTTTTAGCAAAGGATACAAAAGTGACCATCAGTGTATAGTTCACAGCTTTGTTATAGTAGACCTCGACATTTACAGAAGTCACATTCACTAACATAGGCGAGAAACAATCTCCGTCATCACCTACCCCAGGACTTTCCATCAATCCTTCCATGTGATAATAATTTTTGTCTCCATCTACCAAAATATGAAAAATTCCCTCAACGTATGATTAAAATGCGACTAAGGAGACAAAGACTACAACAGAATAAACTCGATGTTTAAAGTTAGAATCCATACTATTTTCATTAGAAGCCACACGGGATATCTGGGCTGCTATTTCGATATTACAGTGCTTCTCCGTGTCAGTTATTGCAGCTGAAGTAAAAGAGAATTGAAGAGCAGAATCGCGGAAAAGTAAACTGTATTGAAAAATACGGATTCTGCTTACAAATTTTTCGTCTCAGCATTCTGTCTCTTGGAGATTCTTGAAATACTTGAGAAGAGAAAATTCCGAGCTGTCCAACAGCAAAAAAATTAACACTAGTAAGCTCTTGGAACATTTTAACGCATCAAACGAACCATCAGTTCAGAAGAAAGTACTATCATTGCCTAAGTGGGTCAAACAAGAGTCTTAAGCTTTACCAGATGATAGGGATTTGCGAGAAGATTATTGTCCTCCTGCCCTGAATCACTCTCCTTGCCGCTGTTTAATGTACATACCTTGGAGTTAAGACTCAATCATGAACCTTGAAAGCAGTCAAACAAATAAATAAAACCACGGACAGGTAGTACCTGTTAGCGACAAGGCGGAGTTGTCTAAAGGGCCATATATATACACCTTCCAGATTTATTTGGGCATCACCCAAATTTTGTTCATTGTCAAATACATCATGGAAAACAACTACGCCCTGTTCCATTAACGTTGTTGGAAGTTCAAATAGTGCATGCTATACGATCAAGGATGATCATCTGATACAGACTTTAGAAGCAGAAATGTTCACCTGAACATAATGCACACCAGTTATCTTTGTTGGAACTGCTACTAACTCAACCACAGAATTACCGTTTGCTTTTCGCAAGTCTTGAAACTTTGAAGTGCTATTAACGGAATCTAGAAATTTCCAAGTTCCTGAAATTGAAAACACCCAACTTATACTTGATAAGTAGTCTAACACACAAAACAATAGACATATATAACACATGAGGGAGTTTGGGATAATCGCTACACACAAGCAGCTGAGCACGTAATAGATAATCCTGAAGTGGCAAGAGGTAGAGAAATGAAGAAAGACATGCCACAAACCTCTATACGTTCCTGTTATATTCCATGCCGAAAACGGTCCTACTCCATTTTCTTGTTTTCTACCAAAGAGCCACTGCAAGATCACCAAAATGTCACGAATTGAACCATTACCCAAACATATCCTGCTTATTCATCCTAGATATCTCAAGGTAGCTTGTGTACCGATGAACTTAAGACAGAAGCTACCCTACTCTCATAGATTTCCATTTCACTATCTTCACGTCATCAAAATTCTAATCAATCGTTGAAATTTTCAAAGCCATCATCAAATGAAGACACAAACCTCGTCGCTCCATGATCGAGTTTTCTCCCTTATGGGTCTCAGTCCTTGCGCTTGTTGCGAGACCACCAACCAAATCGATACCCAGAAGATAACCCGACCCTCAAACCCTAATCCCAAAACCCTTAAACTTTCTCGCTTTCTCATATTCACACACAACCCCCCCCCCCCCCAAAATCCAACCAAAAATGATACAGAAAAAAAAAACCAAACTTGATCAAGAACTGATACGAGCCTTTGCTCCGAAACCACGGCTCGAAAAATAAACCCACGTCACCGGAGAAAACAATCCATTATCGGAATTGACACAGAGAAGAAGAGGTTTGGTTCAGATGAAGTCAAACAAACTAGGTTTTTGGGTTTTGCAAGAAAACTTCAAAGGCAAAAGGCAGAAGAAGAAGACTGGTGGATGTAGTAGAGAAGAAGAGCAGATATAGAAAGATAAAAACACAACCTAAAGAGACAAGGTTTTGTATCTGCCAAATCTCTTACAATTCTAATTGGAATTTGGCAAATTTGTGTTCTCTGGTCGTTGAAGCTTCTCAATCAACTCTTTCTTCAATTACTTAGTTGTTGGAACAAGTCGAAACTTCTTTTGTCTCGCTGATTTTTTTTTTTTAAATTAGTTTCTTTTTCCTTGACCAAAAAATAACATAGTTTCTTTTTTCTGCTAAAATGAAGGTTCAATGTTTTCATTGTTTTGATTGAGAAAGAGGTTAGTTAAAGTCTCATATTCTCGGGTCTTTCCTACGCCTTTAAACTTCCCTTTTCCCAAAAAAAAAAAAAAACATTTTGTTCACAACATAATTAATACCAAAACATAACTAGAATTTATTTTTTCAACTTCAC